TTTTGATTCTGTAGTATAAGGTTTATGTACTATAGTGTAGAACATAAAGGTTTGTAACCTTTGAACTCAACCTTTTTGTTTGTGGCTTCAGAACTTTGATTCTGTAGTATAAAATTTAAATACTGTAGTTTGTATGTAAATGTTTGTGATCTTGGGACTTAAACTTTTTAACTTAGTTTAAATACTATAGTATAGTAATCATAGAAAGTATATGTATGTAATGTTGGTATTTTTCACTTCATAGGTTAGTCTAGATACTGTAATATAATGATCTGTGGATAAGCATAGTTAAATGAGTTTATTATATAAATTTGTGTATAAAACACATTATTAAGTTTTCAAATAACTGCAGTTTGTTTTATCTTTTGATCAAAACAAGCTACCAACAGAGATCAGAACTAAAACTATACCTTCTATAGATTATAACTAGTTAAATATATTTTTCAAAATATTCTGCTTAAAATTATTAGAATGTATTGTTTCATCAGTTAGGTGCCATTGTTGTTAGCAGTATTGTTGGCCATAAACCTAATAATATATCATAAGATTCAGCCAACCCAGGAGGCTAAGGTTAGTCCTAAATACACATACTAAGCTTATAATGTGGAATAATCCTTATAATAACATTAAAATTAGTACAACACAGATTAATTATTATATTAGAATGATAAACATAAAAATAAATTTAGAATTCATAAAAAATAAAAGTAGATGTATTAAACATTCTAACATACACTGTGTGTCCACATGATTCCCATACTGAGGTATACTAATGGTGCCACTGGCCATGGAGAAACTTACAATATTTGCCTTATCTTTCTCATTCTATTTAGTTAATAAGATGATTTAATAATTTAGAACACCTTGTAACTTTTAAATAATTAATTTTATTAAGAAGAACTAAGTAATTTTATATAAGTTCCTAGGTTTTTAACTTGAATATAATATTAGCAGTCATTTATGAGTTGCATTTCTAGAAGTTACACTGTCACTGCTCTGAGTGGAATGTTGCGTTTTATGATAATTATTATTGATTAATTTGTATGGACTTAAAAAAACCTTATAGAAAATGAACTTGTATCTGTTCTTATTGAATCAGGATAGTGATGTTCATATTGTTGAAATAAATTCTGTACTAAAATCGTATCGAACTGAAGTTACTGTCTCAGTTATGGCAAAAATATATCTGTGTGTGTGTTGAAATGCTTTCAGAGGTTTTCTGTTAAGTTGATTTAATCTATTCTAGGCCACAAAGGACTACACAATGGACTGTTTTCTAAACGACAACCCTGTCCTGTTGAAAACAATGCAGTACAACTTTGAACCATGTGATGGGGATGAAGTATGTATGAACTTTGTATTAGTGAAACCATTTTAAACTTTTAATAGATATATAATTACTTTGAATAATAACACTGTTGCTTGTTAATAATGCTTGAATATAGTTTTGAGTCTTTCATTTAATGTACCTTGTATATACAAGAAATTTTATATAAAGGAAATTTTAATTCTACTTTGTATACCTATTAGAAAATTTATGACTGCGATAACAAATAAAACAAGTTTGATTTACATTCTCGTTTTTCTGTAGATATTTTTAGTATAGTTTTAATTTGATAAAGGATTTAAAGTAAATATTTTAAAAACTATAATACTGTTTTTAATAAAGCTGAAACTTAGTAATTTGTTGTTTATAAATGAACTTATTTGGAATAAAATGAAACGTAATGATGAAAGTTTAATATATCTATAGAATCCATGAAGAATGAAAACAACATAAGGCAGCTTTGAATCACATGAAAGTGATACGTGTTATGTAAAGTCAATATTATTGAAATCTTTATCTATCGATTATTTTGTTGTTCAGGTGTAATTTTTTATTGTCTTCTTTTAATTTTTGTATAACTCCAAAACTAACTATTGTAGTTTTTATAATGTTCAGATCATCAAAATTTCTACCGAACACAATGCTGGAATTTGTTTGAGTAAAGAAGCTAGAAAGTGGGCATCTTGTATTGCAAAAGAAAGTCGAACAGCAAGAGATTGTTATGAAGAGCTAAATAAGCTTCAATCTGAGTTCATTGGGAAGGAAAAAGTAAGTCAGTTGCTTTCTTATCCTATAAAGAGACTTGACAACAGAAAATGAAATATAACATATGATAAACGAACTCAGATTTCTTTGCTCAAGGATACTTGCTAAATATAAATGGCTAAATATAATTCTTTATTAATTATTTTTTGTGAATTCCAACTACTTGGTAGCAGAAAGTTGTGAAAATACTGTTTTGGTTTTTATTGAAGGAGGAATATTGCACTATCACATTTTTGTGGTTGAAATTAAAATAGCAAATTTACATTCTTTAAAAAAAAAGAAAGCTCCAGCTTTTGTCTCAAAAAATATTCCAGAAGTTATGTAAGTGAAATATTAATACATTTGATGAAATGAAAAACAAAACACTTTATATCAGTGGTTCTGTGATGGTGTGTTTTTATCTCTGTGAATCACAATGAAATCTATACACTAAGCATCAGTGGTTCAGTGATGGTGTGTTTTTATCTCTGTGAATCGCAATGAAATCTATACACTAAGCATCAGTGGTTCAGTGATGTTTTTTTTATCTCTGTGAATCGCAATGAAATCTATACACTAAGCATCAGTGGTTCAGTTATGTTTTTTTTATCTCTGTGAATCACAATGAAATCTATACACTAAGCATCAGTGGCTCTGTGATGATGTTTTTTATTTATCTCTGTGAATCGCAATGAAATCTATACACTAAGCATCTTTTCCATGGATTGAGAATCACTGCTTTAGTATTTCCCCATCAGGCAAAAAATTATATTCTAATTATGACTCTAAGAACCAATATTTTTACCACTTGTCTTGGTGGGTCAATGAAAAGAAAGTTAAAAAAACAGAGCCAAATGTAGATGTTTATTTTGTACCTTTTTTATCCCTTGTAATTCTGATATAATAAAAACAAGAAGATAATCTGCACTGATAGCCACACAACTCATTCGTTAAAGTAAACTAAAACTTAATTAGTTGAAACAAGACAATATCATATCTTTAATACCTTTTTGTCAGTGTTCAGTTTCCTCCAGTGGAGAGAAGACTGGTACTGAAACTGACCCATACATAAGGATAGAAGAGCTTCGTGAGATAATCCGTAAGGCAGAGGTAAGGCAAAGTTCTTGAATATATCCTGAAGTTAAATACAGTAAAATCTGTAGAATTAAGGAAAGAGTGTCTTATTATATTCAAATAGCAGAAAATAAAACTAGCTTCTCCAAGATGTAGTTTTTTTATTGTAAAATATAGCAACAAACCGTATCAGTTGATGCCAGGTTATTTCCCCATTTTGAACTTTCTTTGTTAAATAAACTCAACTACTACTCCTGTAATAAACACGAGTTAATTTTAGTTTCTTACTGCATTAGTCCCCTGTTGGGACAGCGGTAAGTCTTCGGAATTACGATGCTAAAATCAGGGGTTTGATTCTCCTTGGTGGACACAGCATATAGCCCAATGTGGCCTTCCTATAAGAAAACACACACACACATTATTACATTAGTTTATTTGTTGTTTGATAGAATTAGAAACATACTTAAAGTGTTTTCTGAACTGTTTAGTAATATTGATACTTTTTGTTCTAAAGTCTGAAAAGGATGATATCAAATCTTTAATATTTTCACACTAATAAATGTGGTTAAGATTTTTGTTTATATTATGTTTAACATAGCTGTAAAAATCTGTTTTACTATTTGTCATCATATTTGTGTTCATGTTAAAAGAATGTAAAAGTTTCAGAAATCTGCAACCTAAGCATCAGATAGTTTCATTGTGTACTTATATGTGATTTGATATTTGTGTTGTTTTTTTTATCTCATCCCTAATGTGTTTTCCTGAACATCTGATTAGTTAACTTTTTTTTTTAAATTCCAGCCTCCATCAGAAATAATTTCTATAAATGTCAGTAGATGGCGCCAGTATCATAGTAGTCAAATATTTTGGTTATACAATTTTTTCTGTTATAAAAATGGCCAATAAATTCGAGTCTATCTCAATTTTAAAGGACAACAAAAACTGGTGGTAATTTAAGATGAACATTAATTTGTAAAGTTTTTAAATATCTGTGTGCATTCTAGGATATATTTCAATTACATTTCTGTATCCACGGAATTGTTATTAAACAATGCAGCAAGTTGTTTTTTTCCACCTTCATGCTTCTTGAGTGGTGGAGAACTTTAATTAATAAAAAAATCTGCAGATAAAGTTTCTATATATAAAGTTTCAAATTCTATAACTGGTCGAGACTTCAGTGTGAAGCATGATCGTGACTAGATAATTGTTCGTGGAGAGGAATAAATAAAGTCTGACTTACAAAGTTTTATATCTCTCGCAAGCATAATGACAATAAAAGCCATACATTAATTACTAAAATTTTTAAGGGACAGGCCTACTGTTTTTTATGAATAGGTTTCGTTGTCTAATTTATTCACATTTATTTTATACTTTGTTCTAGCTTTGAAAACACACAAAAAAAGTTTTGTTCTGCTTCAGAGAAACTAAGAAAGTGATTTCACTGGAATTATATGTTTTATGCGTTAAATATTTAGAGTTAAACATTATTATTTTATCAGTCTAATATAATTTTAAGATAAGCTAGTTACTATTGTTTAAAATAATTGTATAATTTATTTTGTCAGATTTTGTAAATAAATTGCTTGTTTATAATTTTTAAAAGGTTATAATATTTGGCAGTTGGCTTGGCATGGCCGGGTGTTTATGGCACTTGACTCCCAATCTGCGTGTCGCGAGTTCGAATATGTCTCTTTCAGCCGTGGGGGCATTATAATGTTACGACCAATCCCACTATTCGTTGGTAAAATAGTAGCCCAAGAGTTGGCGGTGGGTGGTGATGACTAGTTGCCTTCCGTCTAGTCTTTTAACTGCTAAAATAGGGAGAGCAAACGCAGATAGCCCTCGTGGAGCTTTGGGCGAAATTTATAGCAAACCAATCCAATTTGTCGGTAATCCCCGTAGGCGGACCGCGGGTCACATCCGGCCCTTAATTTAAAAGCCTGATTTGTGGTACGCATGATGATGAGATATGACAAAAGTAAGTAAAACTGTACTTGTGGAATAGTGAATTTTCCAATAAGCTCAGACTTGACTTTATGGTTATCATCTGAAGTAGCCTAGTGTGGGCAATAATTGGGAACCAGTGGTATATTGTATCATCTTTGAAAACCATGCTTGCCATGCCCTCACTTATATGACTAACAGTCCTCGCCAATTGTGCGTTATTTATATACGAGTGTGTGTTTATTAATATTAGTCAGCATTTAGCACTTTGATTACACTGATTTGTTAATTAATGTTTACATTTTGAGTTTTAAGAACACGAGATTCAATGTGTTTTGTATACTAAGACGGTTGACTTCATTAAAATTTTCAAACTTGCATTCATTCATCATAACACTCATGATTGAGTTAACAAACTTGTGAAAACTTAAAAAAAGTTTTAGTTACCTTTAAAACATAGTGGAACATTAGACGTTGGAGGTTTGAATTGTGAAATGTTCAAAATATTGGTAAAGATATCTGTAAAACATACTGGGATATCAAACGTTGGAGGTTTGAATTGTGAAATGTTCAAAATATTGGTAAAGATATCTGTAAAACATACTGGGATATCAAACGTTGGAGGTTTGAATTGTGAAATGTTCAAAATATTGGTAAAGATATCTATAAAACATACGGAGATATCAAACGTTGGAGGTTTAAATTGTGAAATGTTAAAAATTGTAAAGATATCTGTAAAACATACGGAGATATCAAACGTCAGAGCTTAAAATTGTGAAATGTTAAAATAAATTGGTAAAGATATCTGTAAAACATATTGGATTATTATCATGTTGAATAATTCTTCACCAGGAGGCGATTTTTTTTTGCTTTATTGATCATTGTGTACGATCTATGAAACAAAAAAGGCAAGCAATTTTATGTCTAAAGTAAATAATAATAAGTAAATCGTAGGCGTGGTTGGTTATTCAAAGTTTGTTGTCTGATCTTATCTTGGCCTTCATGTGTCTCGTGAACGTTAAATGAAGACTGGTTATGCGGCCTTACACCGAATGTTAGATGAATGTTAAAGATACCGTTTCTGAAGGTTAATTGGAAGCTAAAAATGTTTTACCAAGAAAAAAAAAACCTAACTGTGAGCACACGGAAGTAATTAATGTTTGAAACCGCTTTGAAGTTTGTAATGTAGAGAACTGGTAACACATTTAATGGTTGTTTCATGTTTTTTGTCACACTTCGTATTTGTAAGATATATATGTGGTGGTGAAATAAGTTACGGGTTTTAGTTCAGATTGATGGTTTCAGTATGGTTTGTGAATATGTTACTTTATTCTTTTGAAATTCGTGATATCTTTGTTGTAAAACGTGTTATTTCTCATTCTGGTTGGCCAGGTGGTTAGGGTGCTTGAATCGCAATCTCAGGGCCGCGAGTTCGAATCCCCGTCCTACCAAACATGCTTGCCCTTTCAGCCGTTATAAAGTGATGGCCAATCCCACTATTTGTTGGTAAAAGAGCAGTCCAAGAGTAGGTGATGATTTGCTGCCTTCCCTCTAGTCTTTCACTACTAAATCATGGACGTCTAGTAGAGATAGCCCTCGTGTAGGTTTGCGTGAAATTCACAACAAACCAATCATATTGGTTATTTGGGTATCGCGAAACCTGTTTTGTTGTTGTTCTAAGAACTTGCGAGTGCAAGCGAAGACTAATATGTCAACCACACTATACCTGCTATATCCTGTGACGAAGAAGCCATTTGGTCAATACCACTGCTCAACAGGCCGGCTGTGATATGATAGGCATAGAAGTGATCTACGTACTATTTAAAAATCAGTTCCATCGACGTTAAATTCGTCCCCATAGTGGGTCAGCGGCAAGTTTACAACGCTAAAATTCAGGGTTTGATTCCCCGTGGTGGACAGATCTCAGATAGCTTGTTATGTAGCTTTGCGCTAAAACACACACAAACGTACTTTGATTTGTCTGTCTGTAGCGATATCTTTCTATCTCTGTCTTCTTTTCTCTCTTGTTTGTCGTCTCGCTGTCTGATAGCATTGATTAATGTTTTATTTAACTATCCGCCCCCGTTTTTCTGAATATTAAGCTAATAACATGCCACGCAGCATTTGTTAATCTATGTAGTTGTCATTCAATGATTTTTATTTGTTTATAGCTATGTATATCGTCTGTCCGCCCTTTCAGCTAACACTGGTAATGGTAACGTTTTGTAATTTTTATGAAAAAATAAATACTTTTCTTGCTTAACAGTAAATGTAAAATGTGAATTCATTATTTTAAAAATTGTATATATATATATATATATTGCAGTAAGGTTTTATTTCGTTAACGTCTAGCAAAGACCGCGGTTTAATTTTTTGTGTTTGTTGTATGATTTACTTCATGCATCTTCCGTACACGAGACACAAAATGTCTCTCGGATAGGGAGAAAAAAATATGTAGTTGTTAACAAAACTGACCGAGTGAGTATATATATATATTGACAAGCACGTTTTGCTTGTATTTTTTACAGAACTGTACTTGTACTTGGTTTTAAACGGGTGGAAAATAATATTACATAATTTTACGAAAACAAAAGCCGTTATATTAGCAAACGCATTTTTGCAATTTATACAAACTTGTATTGGTAAGCACGTTATGCAGTCACTATTAACTTATATTGGCAAGCACATCTTGTAATTATTACTAACTTATATTGACAAGTACATTAATTTTCTAGATCTGTTTCTAACTGGCTTGGTCTTGATTTGGGTATAAATTTCAAAAAATGCTTGCCAATATAAGTTAGTAATAATTGCTTTTCTAGATCTGTTTCTAACTGGCTTGGTCTTGATTTGGGTATAAATTTCAAAAAATGCTTGCCAATATAAGTTAGTAATAATTGCGTATCATTTAGGACTTTTGACCATACGAAGGGCAACTAATCAGCAGCACCTGTCGCCTACACGGCTTCTTAACCAAAAAGTGATTATAACACACGTGCACACACAGTTGAGTGTTCAGTAGCATTTCGCGTTTTGAAGTTTGGACCTTCCGATCAGCATCCTCGCACGTCAACCCGACTCGATTTACATAA